TAATATATTCTTTAGTCTTCGTAAGGTTAAAGTACTATTAATTAGTATTATTTACTAATAGCATGTATATATATATATATATATATATATATATACTCAGTTTTTCTTTCAGGGGACTCTTTATATAACGGTGACATTTCGACAACCACGTAAGTAACAGTTCCTTTTCATTATTTCATTTAGTTTTACAACATTTCATTTTATTTACAACACCGTATTATAAAGGAAACAAGAGAAGCAGGGATTTGTAAGCTGAAGTTTTTTAAACTGGATGTTGAAAAGGCGAAAATGTACTAATTCTATGCATAGGTAAAGGCTAAAAGCTTGTATCACTTTGCCCCTGTCTGTCTGAGGGGGTGAAATCATCTCAAGGGATGATTCAAATATTTATATAAGTTAGTATGTGCTTGGGGTTTTCTCTCATATGTAAGTTATATGAAATAGTCGTTGACGTATGTAGCTTAAGATTGTTGGATACCACACTTGGATCCATTGCCTAATTTTGAAAGAAGGTTATGATATAATTCTTTCTGGCTCTGTCCTTTAAGGATGTATAGAGATCCTCTTCAGATACAGTAACCAGTTTGATCTTAAACAACTAAGAAGCTGACCAGTGTGATAAATAAGCATAAATACAATTATTGTAAGTAAAAAATTATTTTATTTGTTCACTTATGTTTGTTCCTATCCGAGGTTGAAATTATTCTTTATGGCATATTTCGAGGATTTACATTCTTGTAGTTACTTTAGACTTATTTGTTGGATATCGGTGGACCAGAATGTATAGCTTTTATATCAGTATTACTGTCATCACAATCTAGAAGAAACTTTCAGCCCTATCTTGGATAGGCCAACATCAGTGCATTAATGAAAGCATGGTTCAATGACTGAAAGGCATATTTTAAGTCACTGTTCCGGCTGAAATGTGTTTTGATTTTAATCATCACAAATAATGAGTTGCAGCAGTCACACAACTGGCTACAAGGTTCGAGTCATGTGAAGCAAAACCAAGGAACATTTTTTATTCCTTTCTTGGTTGTGAACTAGCTCCAGTTTTCCTTTGTCAAGTCTGTCCTGTTGTTATTATAGCCAACTATATGATAATGAAATGATACTTTTTTTGGCATCAGTGCATACTTTCTAAGCTTAAAACTCAAGCCAGCACTTCAAATGTGTTGAAAAACTTGATGTAAATTCTCAACTGCAGCCTCAGTGATATTTTTGAACGCATTGTCATTAATTTGGGTCATATTAGATTCATATGGAATCTCACAGTGAGCTAATCCAACCCTTTACAATGTTGCTATTACATTACAGAGCCTAAATGACATTATTTTCTATTACATATGGAAAAACATGTTTTATTCAAGTTCACAAAATTTGAACTTCAAACAGCCTGATGATACCATCAAGGAGCTAAACTAGGGGGTATCTTCCAGGATATCCAGACATTAATTTGCCTGTGGTCATAAGAATGTGTCAACCTTTGTTACTATACCAACCTAATAAATGCTATGCAGATCCTTGGCACTCCTTTTCTAATAACTATTTATTCTGGGGGAAATACACGTAACTTCAGAGTTGTATGATCTCGTCCTGCATCATTTATTTTTTCCACAGTTGCCAGATTTGTACTTGACCATATAAGCCTCTTTAGCTGCTTTTCATTGGGATGTGTATCACCTATGTTTATATTCATGATGTTAGGAAAACACGTAGGTTCAAGAAGTCAGTTTGACTCAAAAATAAGATACACTATAATCCGAGCGCTTTCGAAAGGTGGACCTTTTTTCTTCAGAAGCACACTAGGAATGACTGTGTAAAGCAAAGTGTGAGATAAAGTGAAGTTTAAGTGACATCATGCACACTACTATGTAAATCCGAATGTGTTTTCAGTGTATTATTCCGAATGTTTATCATTCCCGGTTCAATACTACCGGAAATAAGAATGTTAGGTGTAAATAATTTAAAGATGTATTGTTTTAAAAAAGAAAAATGGTCAAAAGAAACTAAATTAAGTGTTATAAAGGAAAATAAAAGCAAATCTTTAATAAAAAATCTTAATACGTAATTTAAAAACCTGATATTTTGTGCATGAAAGCCTTGTAATGTTTACTAATAATGTGCAAAATTTTGTAAAGATACGAATACATTATCAAAAATTATAGTATAATTACTCTCATGAATACTTTCGTGGTTACGCGCTGGGTGGATTAAGGATGTTTTTTTTGTTGAGTGTTATTAGCCTTTTCAATATTTCTGTCAATTTCGGTATCTTTATATCCTCTATGTAACATGGTTTGTTTTAAATTATTGGTGTGTTTTCTGTAGCTTGTTTTATTCTCAGAAAATTTTCTATATTTGGAGAGCTTGGCTGTACAGGTGGTGTGCCGGACTTTTAAAATTATACGCACGAGATTGGTCAATGGTATCCACAAAAGCAATGATTTGATTCGAAACATATTAGTATAAATAATATAAACTTAAATATAAATATATATGTTATAAATAAACACTTAAATACATAGAATCATAATATATTATTCAAAGACGAGGTTAAATTCCTTGATGACGGTGTTGGCGTCTGCATCAATATCCTGGTGAATGTGGAAAAGAGTGTGGCTTGTCAGTCATTGATCAGTCATTTGGCTATATCTTCAGGCTGGAAAAAATGCTAAATGAGTGTTCACCAGTGGCAGTGAAGAATGTCATGGTCAGCAGAGTGAGGAGAATGACATGGTAGCGATGACGACGTCTGGTAGGGTAGAGGGCATCTGGGAACTCTATATGCTGATGTAATGCCTCCAGGTTTCTAGTTATGTGTCAGCTGATGCGGATTATGGAAAAAGGGGCCCGAATTCTTCTTTGATACTGTGTCAGATATCATCAGTCAATTAGTTAATGAAGTCTGGGAGGATGTACTGAGCACATGGGCGGGTTAGGGGCTCGCAGAATCTGTCGTCAAGTTGAGTGATAAGATGGTCGATAAAAGGCGAGTAGTCATTGAGTCGCCAGTTGACCCTGGGGTCGGACACTGGTGTGTTCTAGTGTTGAGTCTGTCACCGTGCAGTATGGAAAGTTTTGGGAGACACATCCACACTATCAGCGAATTCGCATGTTGTGGTCCACATGCAGTCGTAGAAGATGTTATCCCCTTGTTTCTTCTGAAGGAAACTGACGAGTGTCTGTGCTTGATGGAATGCATGGATGAGGTCGCAGTTTTTTAGCCTAGAACACGCAACACAATGTCAACAAGAGCTTCAGATGACTGCTGCTGATGTGGAGAAATGGTAAAGTGTTGTGGCTAGATTTTTGCTGGCTGAGATGATGTAGGGTGTCTGTGATGACAGGAAAACATGTGATGACTTGTTCGACGCTCTCACCTCAATGGGTCCACCTTGTCTCACAGAATTTCTTCAGCAATGGGGCATTTGTGGTAGCAGCATGGGCGATGTATATCAAAAGACGTTGTGATGATCAAGTACAACAGCTGTGTTGTATATATTTTGGATGGGTATAAGCTTGCAACTATGGGACATGGCTAGTTATGGTTGCGGAAATGGACGTAGCTGGCTAAAGGATGTAGCTCTTTGATATGCGTCTGTACACCACAAATATGACCAGATATATTACCTGTACCATCATATCCCTAGTACTGACCATTTTGTTGACATTAATGTTGAAGCTCTGTAGCTGGTTAATAATACTGTATAAAGCACATATATATAGCCAATTACTCTGTGTTGCTGTTGTCAGTACTTTCATCGGCAATCACTGTGAAAAAGCAAGCTTGACAACATGATGCTGTGATAACATTCTGAATTTACTAGATACACAAATCTGACAACTCATTCTGCACAGGGGGGCTGAGGTAGGACACATTCTTCTGTGCCACTTCCAAGTGTGCTGAAGTACAGAGTTTGTCTCAGCTTGGTACTTGAGAAGAGCTATGGTTATCTTTTTGGCCATTGATGGCGATGTTCTGCTTTCACTTATCCTTCAGAGTTCCTTTCATCAAAATATTTTAGACTATTTTCCACTAGCATTGGATCCCATAATGACCTTCGACCAACATCTTATGCTTCATTACTCCTTCACACATTCTCTTCTTTTTTTTTTATCTGATGATTCCAGGGGCATTTTCACCCCAGTATATGACAACACTTAACCTAAACCACACTGCAAATCTCTTAACTATAACAGAAGACAATGTTTCCAGAAACTTAGAAAACTCACTGAGAAACTCACCAGACACCATCAACTTGCCAAGTCTCTACTCTGTAACATATGGAAGAGAAACATACTCCCATCTCTCACATTAAAAGCATCCATCACAGTAGGAGCTCATGATCAGAATTTCTGCAACAAATGGCAACAGATCCTTTAGAACTCTTGAACATTGCTAAGAACTTATTTCAAAATTCTATTAATATTTTAGATAAAGAAATTTCCTACCACCTCTATAACCCATCGCCGGTAGAAGAAGATGATCACAAATTAAAAAAGGGAACCGATACATTCCTTCTTAAAAAGAAAAACCAGCCTTTCACCACAACAATCCAAAAACCACTTCTAACAGCACTTTTTTAATCCCCTTTATGATAAAGAAATTACTATAGCAACAAGCATTCTACCAGAAATTATTAAAACCCCTCTTTCTAATAATGAACATCTGAAACAAATGCCTAAAAACACTTCATCATTTACCAGACATAAGCCCTCTAAAACAGACACACCTGTTAAAAATAACAATGACCTCACAAATTCTACAAGTAACAGTGAACTTTCTCCAAATGTCACCAACATAATTAATCTTTCAAACATAACTCTTTCAGATGCAGAACTCAGTATTCTTAGTAAAGGTCTCAACTTCTGTCCAAACAATAACTTTGTTAATCATCACAAACTTCTTTCTGACATACATGAATTCTCTCAGAAACTAAGAATTTGTGAATTTTTTCACAACAAATCTCATCCTATTGACACTCAACTTACACCAATTTTCAAAGAAAAATCCTCTTCAATACCTCCTCAAAATAGAGAAACACATTTAGAGTGTTATAATAAAGCTGTAGAAAATGACGTAACATAAGTTTTAAAATCTTTTAAGCAATGTCACAATAATCTCAACCAAAAAGAAAGAACTGCT